TGCGAGGCAGGACGAGGCTCAGAGGTCCTGGCCGGCAGCCCCGGAGGAGGCGGAGGCACGCTCCGGCGAGCGGGTGGGTGAGCGGGCACCCCGGTCGCCCCTTCCTTTTTTCCGCCGGAGTTGAATCTGTGCTGCCGTGTCCAGGTGCTGGGCTTCCGGACCGACACGGACCCCCCATTCCCGCCCGCGGCCGCCCTGTCATGCTGCCCAAATTGGAGACGGAAGCCCTGGGACTGGCCCGATCGCATGGGGAACAGGGGCAGATGCCGGAAAACATGCAAGGTAAGGTGGCGCCGCGCGGCGCTCGGGCTCTCGCGGCTTCCCAGCCCCGGCTAGCCCGGCGGCTTCAGCCTCCCGCCCGCCGCCGCACCGGCGTGGTCCGGCCCGAGAGCTCGCCACAGCCCGCTACGGGGCAGCTCACCCGCGTCAGGTCCCCTCCCCAGGTGCAGGTATAAAAGTTTATGGCCCTTGCACAACGCGGGGCACAGATTTTCCAAGCTATGCCTAATTGGCCGCTTCTAATGAAGAAAACAGCGTTCTCGAGCTCTATGGTAACCCACGCGGGGCAGCTTCGGGCTAAAGGTACTTCAGAATAAGAATATCGTTCTATGACACGGAATGCCTCTCTGGACACCGAGCAGATTCTCTGTCATTGGAACTGGTGTGCATGTTCACCGGTGTTCATGTGTGGAGGAGGGAGACCCTGTTAGGAGTGCCAACCACGGAAAAGGAAGGTGACCCCCGGAAGACTTGTCTTAGCGGTAGAGAATGCACGAGGACACTCCCCAAAAGTCCAGGCGGACATCGAGAGCCAGCTGGGACTTGGACAACTTCAAAACTACAGGCAGTACTGAAGGGAAGCAAAGTTCCCCCAGTCCCGGTTCCTGAGCGGATAGTGCCCAGTGACTTGGGGGAGAGGGGTTAGCACATTGCCCTTTCTTTGATCCGAGGGTTTGGAATATGGAAGTCTCATTTGTTTTCCCAGCTCTTGATTGCGCACACACACACACACACACACACACACACGCGTCGCGCTGGCTGTGTTTTCTCCGCATTCCAAAATAGCAGCTCTAGATCAGGCTTGTAGTAAGCCCATCCGAAGTTTATCGCGTTTCTCTGGGCAGGGAACAATGCTAGGAAAAGTCCACGGCGCTCTTCCATCCTCGCCCCTTCCAGTGCGCAGGACGTGCGGGCAGGCGGGCCTGTGATCCCGGAACGCTTCCTGCCATCCAGTTGTGCGAACTTGAAAGGGCTGGCGAGGTGTTGAGAGCAGAGTTCAGGGCCGGTGCCTTGGCCGTGCGGGGTGGGCGGCGTGCCCGGGGCGCTCCGGCCCGGGGACCTCCAGGACTGCGGAGAGGAAACCGGGTGGGGTGTGGGTAGGAGGGAGTGCATGGTGCCCTGGGGCCGGTTACCCTCTGGGTGATCCTGGGTCTCTCCAGCCTCCAAGTAGGGCTGTGGAGGTCCCCTGCGGTTGAGGGCCCTGGATCTAACTTGTGGGTCTGGATGCTGAGGAAACCCGTTTGGCCCCAACGGGCGTTTCCTCCTGGCCCCTGGGAGTCCCTCGAAGTTAGGGCCTGGAGGAAGCGGCGCGCGGCAGTCCGCCGGGGGGCCCAACGCTTCCCGGTCTGGGGAGAGTCTGAGTACTCTCTTCCACCAGATTTTTTGGGTCCGAAAGGAGTTTCTGCTTCTGGCTCGAAGGAAGGGACTTCCTTCTAAGGGGATGGGGAAAGGAGCTTGGGGAAACGCGGGGGCAGAAAGTAGGGAAGGCAAAGACAAGGGTTATTCGGGAGGAGGGAGAGAAATGCCATTGTTATGGGTTTTTTGTTGTTGTTTAGTTTTTGTAAATCTCCAGAGGGGCCTTGCTGGCACCACCGACTGCCCACAAAGTCAGAGCATTAGCTTTCCTCTGTGCCCAGGGCTCCAGAGAAGCTGCTGGAGGGCAGTGCAGCCCCGGACTCGGAAGCAGTATGGGAAGCGCCTGGGCACCGCTTCTGGGATTCGCAGCCTGTCGGACTGGAGGTGCCCAGGGGGACAGGGATCCCATTGCCATGCATGCTCTGGTTCCAGCCTGGGACGCATCTGTAGTCCCACCCGTGGGGGAGCCCGGAAAGAGTTTCCCTACTGGGTTCCCGGAGAGCGCAGCGTGTCCAACTTCAGAGGAACTTCTCCACCCGCCTCTCAGGCCCGGCTGGCCAGGGCCGGGTCAAGTCCTCTTCTTTCTCCAGATGTGACAAGCGAGTGCGCGGGACTTCTTGCCGCTAGCTATGAATTCGTTTTCCAAACTCTTACATTGCCTGCTCCTGGGCAACCCCCGGGGAACTAACTGTATGAGACGCCTGGCCTCACACCGCGGGGTCTGTCTCCCCACCCAGCTTCTGTCTTTGGGTTTCCCGAGAGGGGCCCCACCCCACGGCTCAGGCTTTCCAGCGTTAGATCCTCGAAGTGGGCAGAGTCCTCTATAAGCCGTTGCCTTTTCGTGCCTATTAAGTGTGAGGCTTGCTGACTCTGCTGGGCGGAAAGGAAGGCGCATAGTTGGTGACGTACACTTTTTCTCCTGTCCCTAATCATGCCCCAGGACTTCAGTCACGAGTGCTGGGACAGCTGTGAAGGTTTAGGGGCTGTAAACGAACCTTTGACCTCTCAGGTTCTCCCAAACCTCCAGATTCCCACAAGCCTGGCGCTGGGATCTTCTGGAACTGGGATGGGGCTGGCTCTGTTGGGAGCAGTGCGTTCAGTGTTCCTTTATTTCAACTTTACCGAGCCCAGACTCCTGCCTCTGCCGGGGCCTCCTTTGCGAGGATTCTCCCGAACTCAGGCTACCTCACTCAGGTTTGGCCGCAGCCGAGAGCTCTGTGTCTGCAAAAGACCGTCGCCTCCCTGGGTCCGCGCTCGGCCCGCGAAGTGCTGCAAGGGAGCCCCGCACCGACTCTTTCCAAGGTCCTCAGAAGCCCAAGGGGGAAAAAACTTTATCTTAAACAGAACAAAGCATTAGCAAGGAGGCCACCTTGGTGACCACCGAGTGGTCCAGTATTTTGGCGATGGGGTGGGGGCTATTTCTCACTGCTTTCGGGTAAACAGAAGAAACTTCTGCGCCTCGGTGGGTTCCCCATCCCCCCGCCCCGCCCCCTGTAAATGCCACTGATTAACTTAAAACAAACTCGGCTGGGTGTTTGCTGGGTGTTTGTACGCTCGGTAGCAGAAGGTTGAGCCAAGGGCCAGAGCCGGGCGTCCAGGGGTTCCGCCCGCAGGGTGCGGGGGAGTGAGGCGGTGGCCGGCTGCGCAGACGTCCCTCTCTCCCTCGGTGCCCGCCCACCCGCGCAAGTTACTCGGGGACCTGACCCGCGTGGATGCCGAGTCTTGGGGAGGGACCGCATCAGGTACTTGGTGGGGTCTCCTGCCCACCGCCCTCCCTGTGCGTTTATGTATCGTTTAGTTGTGAAGACGTGGTCCCACGGTTTGGTCCCAGCAAAGCCACGAAGGCGGGTTACCAGATCCCGGGATCCGGCAGGCGAGCCACGCGTCGCCCGGGCCTGATTTCTGTTTAACTTTAACAGGGCGCTCTGGAGGTGTTTATATTTTGCCACGATGATCGGAAACATGTGAAGTTCATTACAGGGTTTCAGTCTTTGCGACGAAACCAAACCCTCGTGTGTATCTTTTCTTTATTTCCCGTCCGGTGTTCTTCCTTTCTTTTCACGGGAGATTTTCAAACGTCTGGAGATAAAAGTATCCGAAAGTACTGTCAATACAGAACGGAACTTTTCAATGAATCTAACAGATCGGAACATGGGGAGCCTCAGGCTGTTTACCTTAAAGTGGGTTGCTGCCTAGAAGCAGGATCCTGGGACTTCATTGTCTCGGTGGAGCAGTGCTTGCAACTTGGTGTTGCTGTCCTTTTAAGCGAGGTGCACTTGGAACTACTTCTGGAGTGAGAGAATAATGTGTGGGTTTGTCTTGCTCTCAGGCAGTGACATTTTAGACTTGACGTTACAGAAATTTAAAAAAACTCTAGGTGGTTTGGAACTTTAGGTAATTCATATTTCTATTCTGATCTGTTGCTTTGCAGAGTTCTGAGATTGGCATTCAAGCGTGGTCGGTTTGTTTAACATATTAACAAAAGAAGTTGAACTGTTTTAAAATTAAAAAAAAAAAGTTGAACTTTTTTAAAATTAAAAAAAAAAAGTTGAACTTTTTTAAAATTAAAAAAAAAAAGTTGAACTTTTTTAAAATTAAAAAAAAAAAGTTGAACTTTTTTAAAATTAAAAAAAAAAAGTTGAACTTTTTTAAAATTAAAAAAAAAAAGTTGAACTTTTTTAAAATTAAAAAAAAAAAGTTGAACTTTTTTAAAATTAAAAAAAAAAAGTTGAACTTTTTTAAAATTAAAAAAAAAAAGTTGAACTTTTTTAAAATTAAAAAAAAAAAGTTGAACTTTTTTAAAATTAAAAAAAAAAAGTTGAACTTTTTTAAAATTAAAAAAAAAAAGTTGAACTTTTTTAAAATTAAAAAAAAAAAGTTGAACTTTTTTAAAATTAAAAAAAAAAAGTTGAACTTTTTTAAAATTAAAAAAAAAAAGTTGAACTTTTTTAAAATTAAAAAAAAAAAGTTGAACTTTTTTAAAATTAAAAAAAAAAAGTTGAACTTTTTTAAAATTAAAAAAAAAAAAAAGAAACCACGAAGTGATACCGAAAGATGTTTTACTTTCACTGTGTAAAAATAGTTCTCTTCAGTGTGACCTGGTTGAAAATGACTTTTGTTTTATATTTTACCTGGTGATGTTTGCTCACCCATCATCAAAAAGCTTTTTGTTGGCAGGATTAAAACCTACGAAGGAAATTAATTGGATATATGTGTACATTTCTCTCGTTTCAGTGTCTCAATTTAAAATGGTGAATTACTCCTACGATGAAGATCTCGAAGAGCTTTGTCCGGTGTGTGGAGATAAAGTGTCTGGGTACCATTACGGGCTCCTCACCTGTGAAAGCTGCAAGGTTTGCTTGCTTGTTGCTCCCTGAAAAAGATAATGTTCAAAACCAAAATAAACTACTGATTTACTTTTTAAAAGCTAAATGTAGGCTATCTTTTTTATTTAAAAATGAGAGAGAGTCTTAGGGAGATGATCCTTAGAAATATGTGTCTGATTTAGTTCAAAAGGCAAAGAAATTTATGCTGTTTAGAAAACTTTGCCAGTCTCATGACTTTAACATATTTTATTGTAGTAAAGTGGTGTCGCTGTAGAAGGACTTCCATTTCTAACAGTCCTAAATATTGATTTTGCTTGACTTATATATATTTAAAGCATCGTTGTTCTTGCGAGAGAACATGACAAAGTATTTCCCAAATACATTTTAACTTCAGAGTATTCTGTGCTACAAGTCTCAACATTTTTTATCCACGGACATAAAAGTCTAAATTCCCAACTGGATGATTTCATCCTGATTTATTCCAAAAATAATTCTGAAGTTTTTTTGAAATTTATATCATGAAACCAAGAAATCAGATTTTAGTTTCTAAGAGAGTACTTTTCAGAAATATATCAGATGACCTATAAGGGATTTTAATATGTAAAGTGTACTATATGTATTGTTACTGATAATATCAGTTGTAGTTTAAGAATTTATCTCAGATATTTAAAAATATTCCCAGTAAATTTAATATTCACTATTTTTTTTTCAATAATTTTTAAAGTAGAAAACACTGTACATTGACTTAAATCACTGCCAGGAAAATCCTTTCGCTCTTATAAGGCTAGTTTCTCTGTAAGGCTAGTTGGGTTAATAGGAACACCATCCTGGTAGAGCTTTATTATATTATAGAGCTGCCAATTTTATTTTTGAGTAATTCTTTGGAGTGAAATATAAGGAAAGCATGTACTCTATGTGCTACAGTTCTGCTCTCTGCAATACATGCTTTTTCTCTCCACTAGTTTCACCATTTTTTCTTTTTATAAAGTTCTCATACTTGAATATATTCCAGCAGAATTATGAGCATTCCCCATTTTACTCTTTAAATCCTTTAGCATTTAACTGTCCAGTGTTGACATTTGTCAAAGATCTGAGGTATTTTGCTATTCCATTTTTCCACTGGCATTTTGCAATGGTTTGTTACTGAAATGATTTCAGACTACTTAAAAACAATGCAGATCTCTATGCATACCTCTATCTGGAACATGACAGTTAAAAGGAGAACAGATTTTTTAAAGACCACTAGGTCTTTAGAGAGAGAGGCCCATGTAAAGAGAGTTTTTGTTTGTTTCTTTTCTTTTCTTTTTGAATATTGTGATGAGATGGCCAGTAGCCAAATCTCCTCAAGATTTGATGTAATTCTTCAAGAATATAACTAAATGCCAGAAGGATTTCCACAATGGCCTGGCACCATTTTGGAGAGTTGGTCTTGCTGAAATGTAAAATAAACCACAGAGCCACATAAGGACTCAGATGACTTAATGAGAAGATTGACTTTGATTTCCTTAAAATGAAACAATGGAAGGGACGAGTGTTATATTTATAATATGCCTCACTTTTTTTTTCTTTTGTATTATAGGGATTCTTTAAAAGAACAGTCCAAAATAATAAAAGGTACACATGTATAGAAAACCAGAACTGCCAAATTGACAAAACACAGCGAAAGCGTTGTCCTTACTGTCGATTTCAAAAATGTCTAAGTGTTGGAATGAAGCTGGAAGGTAAGATTCTTCTAAAGACTACTGCCCAGTAGAACTCCCCAAGGACATGGACTTTAAAACACCATTGTACTTATAACATGGTAACATTATTTTCCCTGTCTTTTAACACTACTGACAATAATGTAAGATCTTTTACTATGTTTTGTCTGCAGAAAAGTCTGAGTTTCATTTAAATATGGTGAGATCTACTTGGGAAAATTTTACATATCAGAGTTCCCTCCTCCTTTTTAGTTTAGAGAGCAGATACATTTGACACTAAAAAGGTCAGGATAGATAGAAACAAGATAAAGCAATTCAACTAAGAACATATGACATTCATTTGTAAAAAAATAATAATAAAATAAAATTTAAAAACTTAAATTTTCTAATCAGCATGCCCCAATAAAAGTTGGGTGTTCATTTTTTAAAGTGTGTTTATCATCATTGTTATTAAGTTCATGACTGAGTAAAACTTAAAGGCTTTCATTATGAAAGGAGTCTTGTATGTAGAATATCACTTTTGGCAGTATAGAAATGTACTTTTTTTAAAAGATAAGGACTGCAACATTTCAAAATTGAGAAGCAGGAAACATGAAAAATCATGAACTGTTCGATCAGTAGCAATGGTTTGACGGAACGAAAGTGTCCTTCAAAGCCACACTAAACTTGGTGGAAGGGGCAGAACCTGTCCTGCGGTGTACAGACTGACAGGCGGTAAAGTTAATATGTGACTGCTGTAAATCATTTGTTAGCTCAGGGACTATTATGGTATGTTGCTGTTTACTAGCCTCCGACCTCCTGGGTTCCCACAAATTAAATATACTGCAAATAGAGTAATAACAAGGGATACCTATCTCTGATGGTGCTAGATACAAGAGTGCATTTTATTTGATCACTGAGGTGTAGGCTACTTTTATTTGGAGTTTTTCCATTAAATGAGATTCATACTTGATCGAAATATTTTTGGTAAATCTGTGGAATCGCTAACAGATTCTTTCCAAGTAGAATAGCCTCTTTGATGATCATGAAGACTGTTAATGTCAGTATTGCATTTAAGAAGAGACTGGGAGAAGAATTAGTGCTTATTCATTTCCTTTGCGCTGATGATTATTTTCCAAATAGTGAAAGACTGTGGTAGCTGCTTGCTAGAGTATGAGATTCAAAAGATAAAATGGAAAGTAGATGTGATTTCATGGGATTTTTTTTTTAAAGAACAAAAGGAAAAGGATTACATTTCTTTAACTTACAACTATGCCTTCTTAATTGTATATAAGTCACTTGCGGGCACAAACGGTGATATGAAACAGGGATAAGAAGCGATTGAATATTCAGTAAATTATTACCCAGATGAAAAACTCTGTATGATCTTGTGCAGTATTCAGGATACCTAGAATTCACAATAAATTTTTAATATGATTCTAATCCTGTCATAAAAAGCTGAAATACTTAACCTCCAGCAATTTCAATATGTCACAAGCTGTCAGAGGTCGCTGGTTTTTGTCTAATTGCCCTTGGTCACTGTGGACTTGGAAAGAACTTCTGGCTCACCTATTAGGCATGGCCCCTGACTCCTCACTCTGTTGTGGCAGAAGACTCTTGACAATTCCTGAAATAAATTTGCTTTAATTATGTCTGATTATTAAAGACAGTAACTTACAGTTGGTTATCTGGTGGGTTATCACGTCTAGGTAAAAATGATTTTCCAAGAGCTCATTCTCAACCCTTTTGCAACAAAGCAACCAAAGTGGCTTTGAATGAAGAAGGTGTCTTCAGGGAAATAATTGCAATTCTAGTCTAGAAATGGGTCATGTGATTTTTTAGGTGTCTTCAGGGAAATAATTGCAATTCTAGCCTAGAAATAGGTCATGTGATTTTCCCCCCCCTCCAAGAAAAGAAAACACCCAAAGCAGTTTGGATTTTCACAAAGGCTCTCGACATAAGTGGTATTAATAGAAATGGATACTTTTAGGAAAACTGACACTGTATCTCGGCAATACGAAATACCCTCTATGCATAACAAAAATTACAAAATCTCTTCGGTCCACAAAAAGGTTAATGTGTTCCTACATATCCAAAATACTTTTTGGATGACAAAACACACTTGGAGAGAAGGAATTCATCCATAAAGAGGATTTGGGTTGGGGGGACTCTCTTTGTGGTCTGTTGTAATGAAAACAATCATACGACTTCTGGTTAATTTTCAATATTTCTAAATATCTGGATGTCTGGAGAAAAACATGAATTGACATTTTATTATACTCTGCCTTCCTTTTCTCCCCCCCACCCCCAACAGCGGTAAGGGCAGACCGAATGCGCGGAGGAAGGAATAAGTTTGGGCCAATGTACAAGAGAGACAGGGCCCTGAAGCAACAGAAAAAAGCCCTCATCCGAGCCAATGGACTTAAGCTAGAAGCCATGTCTCAGGTGATCCAGGCGATGCCCTCTGACCTTACCATCTCCTCTGCAATCCAGAACATCCATTCTGCCTCCAAAGGCCTACCTCTGAACCATGCTGCCTTGCCTCCTTCAGACTATGACAGAAGTCCCTTTGTAACGTCTCCCATAAGCATGACAATGCCACCTCATGGCAGCCTGCAAGGTTACCAAACATATGGCCACTTTCCTAGCCGGGCCATCAAGTCCGAGTACCCAGACCCCTACACCAGTTCGCCAGAGTCCATAATGGGCTATTCCTATATGGACAGTTACCAGACAAGCTCTCCGACAAGCATCCCACATCTGATACTGGAACTCTTGAAGTGTGAGCCAGACGAGCCTCAAGTCCAGGCCAAAATCATGGCCTACTTGCAGCAAGAGCAGGCTAACCGCAGCAAGCATGAAAAGCTGAGCACGTTTGGTCTTATGTGCAAAATGGCAGATCAAACCCTCTTCTCCATTGTCGAGTGGGCCAGGAGTAGTGTCTTCTTCAGAGAACTTAAGGTATGCCAGCAACTGTTATAGCTTCTACTATCCCTTTAGAGAGAGACTGACTACGTTATATTATGGGTGCTGAAAGCTTGCTTTCCTTTACTTCTTGCTATGCCATAGAGTAGAACTGTCTTACAACCTTGACTGCAGGCAGGACTGTTGTAACTTACCTTTATCTGGCCGTTATTCTGTGTAACTCTTAATTTGGGGAAGATGGCATTTAGTATGAATATTAGGTCATGGGGAAAGACATGATGTAGTTTTCTGATTTTTTTCTACACAAAAATACATCATTCCTTTTCCAGCAAGCCAGTAGAAGGAACTTAATTTTTTTTCCCTGAATGGTAGAATGTCTTTATTCTCTTTAACTCAAGATGGTGTGTGGCTTAAAAAGAAAAAATTGGAGTCAGTGTGAAACAGCACCTAGTAAACTTTTTAGAAATTACCAAGTAAAGTGCTGTATTAAAATGGTATCATCTTTTTTATTTTTTTTTCTGGAGAAGTTTTTTTTTTTGCTCTAGGGCGCATGCGCTCGCCAGACAGACAGAGAGAGACAGAGAGCTAGAAAGCGAGAAATCACCCCCCGGGGGGGTTGGCCATGCCGCAATCCCTTCTCTCCATTCTCCTCTCGGGATCTTGGGCACGCTC